TACTGAATCACACTCAAATCGTTCTCATCATCATAGTCAAACAACACCAAAAAAACAGACATTGTCATTATCATCATCACCATCAGCAACAACATCACCTCATCCTCCTGAATTATCAGCTGATGATCATGAACAACAACATACAACAGATGATATAACAATAACAAGTGAAAATTTAAATGATGATGACGATGATACAACTGACGGTGAAATGCGTCATGATATGCAATTAGAAAAAGATATTAATGTTATGTCAAAATTAAAAGATACATCAGGCATGGCACATGCTCTATTAGAAGATTTACGTTTACAAGAAAAATTACTCTCAAAACAATTACCACTCGATCCATGGAAAGCATCACGTTCACCATCAGCAGCTGTTGAACCACCAAGACGTTGTCGTTTTGATTCACCGAAATTTGCATCACCATCAAGACGTGTTCATACACATTCATCATCAACAACAAATCCAGATGATAGTCTTGCTGGTTTATCAACATCAATATCAACAACACCAGCAGGTGGAAAACGTATTACATTACCGAGATATCATCAACAAAGTATGGAAAGTTTGTTACTTTTTTTTTTCAATTTATTTTTTTGTTAAAAGAGATTTTAATCATAAAAAAAATTTAGGTCCTATTGCATATGATTTTATCAGACAGACACCAGGTTTGATAATAAAAAAAAAAAAAACAACAAAACTTCAATTTTGACCTTGTTAATGCACTTTAACATGCATCTTCTTTTCCTCTATTGACAACTAGCTTTGATTTTTTGTTAATCAATGAAAAATAAAAACAAAGCAATGAAATTTATTTATTTTGTTTTTTTTTTCCAAATTATAGTTCTACGACCTGGTTATGGTTTAACACCATCACCTAAAGCTCAAACATTACCAACTTGTCTTGATATGCAAAGAAGTTGTGATTTAGATTCAACAGATCTTGGAACTACACATTCATACTGTAAATATATGATTCTATTATCATTTTAACAAGAATATTTTTTTGTTTTCTCCTATTAGATTCACATGATGGAGATCACAATAAGTCAGTGAAGGTATTAGAATTTTTTATCAAATACATATTTTTTTACTATTTAAAGAATTTTTTTTTCATAGACCGTTGATGTTGGTGGTGGTGGTGATCGTCGATATTTAGATTCTCAACATGCACATTCGACTCATTCAGCCCCAACATTAATGAGTAATCCAAAATTATATACATATGAAGAATTAAGAATAATGTCTAAGAAACGATTACCGTCAGATGTTGATCGAGATCGTCTAGAGGTTGGTAATAAATTTGTGCTAAAGTGAAAATTTTCAATATTTGTTTTTCTTAGCGTCATCTATCTGATAATGAATTTCATACATTATTCCAAATGACACGATCCGATTTTTATCGTTTACCAGAATGGCGTCGTATTGATCTGAAAAAACGCTTTAAACTTTTTTGAAAAATTTTTTTTTTTCGTTTTTTTTCCTTTTTCTACATATTAGATTGTTTATCCCGAGAATGCTTTCTGCTTTATTGTAGATGCTCGCGTGTGTGTGTGTGTGTGTGTATTATTTCTTTTCTCATTCTATTTTATTTAATATGTGTGTGTATGCGTATAAAAAACTATCATCAACAGCTAACACAAACAAAAAAAAATAACAAATTGTTCGATCTCTCATTCTTAGCCGTTAAAATTATCTTTCCTTCTTTTTCTTTTTCTTTTTTTTATTTGTTCTGTTTATGTTTGTTGTGTCAGATTGAAAAAAGAGGAAAAAATGAATTATATTGATGCCTTATGAACAAATTGAAAAAGACAAACAACATATATCTTGAACATTATTTATAAGTTATTTTATGGAAAGCTTTTTGGCTTATCGCTTTGTCTTTATCTCGTTTTTTTGCTTTTTGTTGTTGCTGCTGTTGTTGTTGTTGTTTTTGCTGACCGAGAAAAAAAAGAACTCAAATATGAATTTATTTCAGTATCTATTTTTGATTATCGCATGTCGTTTATAATTGAAAACAAAAAAAAAAGAGAATTATCTCCGCCCGATAATCATTTCCGTCACTCTCTGGAGATAAACAAAGAATTCAATCAGTCTGATGTTATTACTCTATGGAACCATAGAAATGATCTTATTTCCTTCTTGCTTCTTCTTCATGATCAAATGTTGTTTTTCCTCTCTATATAAGCGAAAAAAAAATGGACAAATGAGTTTATCGCTCGAGACCGGAAGAATTTTTTTCTATCGTTTGATGATATTATAATATTGTATGTCAATAGAAATTGAATATAAAATACCATAAGCATATATATATCTAGATACATACATATTGTAAATGTTTATTTTAGAGAAAAAAGATATGTATGCTGTCATTTAGAAATGTTTTATTTATTTAGGATGCGAGTATAGAAAGAAAAAAGAATGCTTCTGTTCAGAGATAAGAAATTCAATCATGATGATAATATCAAATGAAGAGTACTAGAAGATATGAATGAATACTATTCATTAATATACTTAAATCATTAGTCTTTGATAAGGATATGGTCGATTGAAGTTTGTTTGAAAGTATTCATTCATTAATCATTTAAACATAAACAATGAACAAGTCTGATAAGTTGCAAAAGAAGATACAAGAATAAATCAATTCATGATAGTCATTATTCAATTGAGAAGAAAAATATATTGTTAATTATTGTTTAAATAAACTTTATATAAAGAAAAATTTCAATTTGTTTTCTTTTTTGTGAAAATTTAAAATCTAAAGAACTTTATTAATTAAAATAAATCAGATAAAAAGAAAAAGCATTTTTCTGATAACTGTCCTTCCTTTTCTCTTATTGTTTGTTCGGATATTTCTAGTTATTTACTTAGAGTATTTATCTTGAGTTCTTTTGTATTTTGTTAGTTTTTTCTCATCTCTTGATTTCCAGGTCATTAAGTATCATTCGACCTCCACTAGTATATACATTCTGAAGGTTAGAATAGATGTAATATCTTTCCACTCTCTTGATGTTGACAATCAAAGTAAATGCCCCTAGAAAGTACACCACTTGGATATTTCTTTCTGTTCTTATTCATTTTTTTTATCCCCTTAAGATGATTTCAATCTAGGGTACATCCTGATTATAAATGTATTATAAATAAACAACTTGAATATTTATTGATGTGAATGGTCTTATGATTAAACTGCTATCCGTTGATATAAAAAGTTGCCACTGATAGAAAATCCTATTTCGTAGACAGTGATTGATAATATAATATATAAAAAAATGATAAATTGTTAATTATTCATGGAAATTTCTTATTTGGTTATTCAATTGATTTAGAATTCAAAAGATACAGAATTTTCAAGATTTTATTCAATACAAAAATTTCTTTTTGTCCATCAGTATGTCAAGTTTTGAATTATTCATATATCATACAAAATAGATTATATCGGATTGTAATAAATAAATCGGCTATTCTTATTAAGAATCTGGAGAATTTTTCTTTCGATTAAAATAGAAGTTTGATGCAGAAGAACTATTTTAGATTGTAGCTGATGATTGATAATCTAATTCAATAGGAGCTTTTGTTTAATGATTATGAAGAATTTCCACTTGAATATTCAATAATAATAGTAGTAAAAAAAAAAAGAACATCTGTTTTTTTTTCGACATTCCATTGATAAAGATAAAAATAATAATATTGATAGTTTTCTTCAACCAATGTCATGTTTAGAAATGATTAGCATCGAATTCCTAATTGTTAATATAAACACGTCCTTCTTTTTTTTTTCCTCATCTAGATTCCTGTAAATACCTGCATCGATATGTTTAATAACTGACATAATAGATATATTGATAGTATTCAAATAAAAACTCAAGGATTTCTCATACGTTCATTGAAGAATACTAATGAAATAATACAAGATAAGAATTTTTTATGGGAAACATGTCAAATATTATCTTGTATTATTAATGATCGATCTTTATCAGTTACTTAGATTTATATCGTTTGAATAATAATTGTCAACCTAGAAATCTGATATGTAATCAACAATCACAAGAAAAAAAAGACAGAAAGAAGGTTTCTATGATTAATTGTTTATTGAAAATTGTCGAAATTTAACATAATATAACAAAAAAAAGTTATCAATGTCTTTAACCATTTTATTTTAAATTAAATATAATGTAGGAGTAATTTCAACAGTTAATAGGAATATGAGTGACATTGTTCTATTCTCTTTAAATATCAAAGTGAAAAATGTCGCCATACTGAAGTATTTATTTAATTTTTGTTAATGAATCATATAATAAACTTGATAAAGTCAAACATACATTTTGCAAACATTTTTCATGAAGTTATAATTTTGTCAAGAGTTCTTATAGATATCTACTCACATTTCGAAAAATGATGTGTTGAAATAAACAAAAAAATTATCTATTATTTTATATGTATTTAATTCAATTCAATTGAAAAGAATTATCTGTATAATGAATTTAATTCTACTTGCATATTATATTTGCTTTGTATTAGTATTTGATATAATAAATTTTATCATGGATTTATTTAATAATCAATTACATTGATAAGAGTATTTCGACATATGTTAATGAATATTAAAAAGAACGTTCTAAAATGAAGAATTTTTCTCACAAATAAATTTTTAAAGCTAAAACATAAATTATACATAAATTTCTAGTGCATATTTTATCTAGATTCTTTTGATTTTATCGACTCAAAAAAACACATTTATTTCTTTTAATTCTTCTCGTTTTTATTCAAAATGACATCAATTATTTTCGATCAACGTCAAATTCTTTATCTTCTTCTTCTTTTTTATTAAAAATAGTTTTATCAAATAATATGTTTAGCTGAATTTATGTCATTTAATTTATTATTTTGCGATAAAGAAAAGAAGAGTATTCACAACTATAAACAATTCTTTATTTGAATTCGTCTCGATGAGTTCTTTACATTTCATTCCTTTTTCTTTTTTTTTTTTTTTTTTTTATTAACAACACCATCCAGAACTTCTGGTACCATTTGGCATATTATTATAATTATCTCGATTATTATTCATTAATGATAATCCAGACATTTTATTCGCGTCATTTAATGTATAATGTCCATTATGATGAGTTTTTCGAGTTAATTCTTTATCAAGTAATGCTTGGGCTGTTGCCATAAATGCTAATTCAACATTTTGACCTGTTTTAGCAGATGTTTCAAGAAAACTAACTTCATAATCTCTTGCTAAACGTTCACCAGCTTCTCTTGATACAACACGTTGTGATTTATCAATTTTATTTCCAATTAACATTATAATAACACCATCATGTGCAAATTCTTTTATTTCACTTAACCAAGCTGAAATATTTTCAAATGATGAATATGATGTTACGTCATAAAGTAATAATAATGCATTAGCATCACGATAATATGAATGTGTTACTGAACGAAAACGTTCTTGACCAGCCTATTTAAACAAAAAAAGAAAATAAATTTAAAATTAAAAAAAAAGGATTTAATATTTTATTTACTGTATCAAATATTTGCAGTTTAATTTTTTTATCACCGAGTGTCACAATTTTATTTCGAAAATCAATTCCAACTGTAGCAATAAAACTTCCAGCAAGAAATGTACCATCTTTAAATCGTACAAGCAAACATGTTTTACCTATATATGCATATTATAAATAGTATAAATAGACAAATAATAAAAACAAACCACTTACCAACACCACTATCACCTAATAACATAACTTTAAATTGATATTGACTACTATTATTCATTATGTCAGTTGATGGTGACGATGATAATGAAAGATTATGTGTACTAGGTGACGATGATGATGATGCAATATTTTGTTCATCATCACAAGGTGTTGTACGTTTTGCTGTTTCACTTATAGATTTTGATTGAAGTTCATAATATTGTGCAGTTAAAGGACCTGTATACACATATCCATCACTATACGTAGCCATTGATGAGCGTTCATTAGCTTTAATTGATGCAAATGTCGGAGAATTCGATGATTTTGAATATGTATTAGATTGATCCATAGATGATTGAAGTTTCGTTTTATTTAATTGTTTTAATATGGCGATTCTCACATTATACAAAATCTAAAACAATATTTTTCTTTTGTGAAAAAATAATACATTCATTACGTATCTTCTTTTTTTTTATTGAAACAGATATGCATTTCTACAGAGAATTATAAGTCTCATCAATTTCCTTGATATATGATACAGAAAAAAATTTTCAATGAAGTGTTACCTTCATTTTTTTGGTACGTGATAAGAGTTGATTTATATAGATAAATAACAAATTTAGATATTCAGGACATAGTTAGAATATCATTTGTGAAAGTAAAAATAAGAGATCATGATGAAAGACGCTGCTATTCTTACGAATGAAAGATTCATATTTGAGCGTTTGATGACTATACTCGATGCAAAGGCCGGAATTACAAAAAATGAAGGAAAAATAGAGTTGTGAGAAGAAAAGATCTCGCTCCTTCTCTCTCTCTCTCTCTCAATGCCTATATTCACCTTTCGGATTTCGATATTAATATCTCTATATCTCTTTTACTTAAGCCTCTCACTCCTTTTCGTTGTCCTGTCTATTTTTAATCATCTACGACGTCAATTATTTCAAACACTTCTCATTATACATTCAGCCATTTTTTTGCACTCACTCCATCGACAGAATGTCTGTTGAAAGAGCGAGGAAAAAGACAGCAACAAACTAAAGAGAAAAAAAAGAAGAAAAGTAGCGGAAAAAAAAGGCAAGTGTGACGCTTTGCCTATTATGCCTGCTGTTTATGAACAAGAAAAAAAATGCTCAAAAGAGCACCAGACGAGAATATAGTACTGACGTAGTCAATTACCAATCATTTTTTCTTTTTGTTTTGCTCTTCACATTTTAGCTCTTCTTGTTGTTTTATTCTTGTACTAATCAACGTTTGGAAATTAGAAACTTTCAAAACACAAAAAAGAACCTCAATTATTACGCTTGATATGTCTTGCAAATGAATATTGAAAAATCTATTTTGAAAATGTCTAAGAGAGATATTCAATTCTTTCTCTATGTTATACACCTGCCATTGATAATATATATATATATCTATCTATATATATAAATGTAAATGTAATAAATATTTTCATTAATGCTAAAAACAATGTGATGCATATATAATTGTAGTTATACACAGGTCACTAGAGGGTGAGAATGTGTTTAGAATATGAAAACCAAAAAAAAGATTTTGGTAATATAGATGATCTCATCAATACTTTATTTGGTCGTGCCCAACTTTTTATTCGATCTACTTTGTGCATGACATAAACTGTCACCCTTTTAGTTAGTTACTCGTGAAAAGGAGAAAAAAGACGAAAACTAAAGAAGAGAAAAAAAACACATAGTAATCACAACATGCTCATCCGTCTATTCTACCTAGCGGGACAAAAAAAGACTGTCTTGTCATCAGAGGCAGGCTCGTGCTTGTCAGTTAATTGTTATTTTAGATGCTACATCTTTTCATTTATTCTCTTTTGTAGTAAAAGTGGTTGTTGTTGTAGCCGATGGCATCGTTCTCATCAAGCACGCGCACTTGGAGTTCATTCATTTCCGTAATGCTAAAAGAAGATGACTTGTTTCTGTTTTCTTTCTTTCTCCGAGTAGATCTTCTTGTCTTTCTAGGTCCATAAATAGCTGGATACATCATTCCTTTTTTTCCTTTTATTATCTGTCTATTATTTGCAAAAAAAAACCAAATAAGTATTTTTGTAAAAAAAGAAAGAAAAAGGAAGAGCAAATATAAAGAATTATGTCATGTGCTAGCTGATTGATTTTTGTCAATACAATAAAAATTACTCAATTATTAATATTCGATTTCAGACTAAATAAAAGACGAAAAAAAAAAGAATTGATTTACTTGGAACATTTTGACCATGATTTTTATACATTAACTACTAGTTATTACGATAGAGTTTTCAAATTAATTATTGAACATAAATTTGATAGAGATTAAGATTGACTTCAATTAATAATGATTTAGGTTGAATCAGATTTCATAATAATCAATAAGTAATTGCCGACATTTATGGTGATGTTTGTGTGTATTTCATAATGATTTTATAAGAATATTTATATGAAAATAAGTATTCAAGGGAATTATTCTTGCGCGCGAACAACTATGATCTCGTGTGACCATTATCCTCGGAAGAAGATTAATTTAATAAGAATAGAGATAATAACCAAAAAAACTTATTTCATAAATAAATCTTTTCTTTTGTTTTTAAATAAGTTGAGATGGAAGAACAAAAAGCAAAAGAACGACAATTTTTTTTTATAGTTTTTGTCTAGTGAATGTAAACATAGTGTAGACACAGTAATGTTGGCTTTCTCTTAATAGTAGACGATTGATATTTGTAAATGAAAAAAAACAATGTCAAAAGTGTTTATTCATTCGGAAAAATAAATTACGAATATTATATACTTCATGACGGGTGTCAGCATAAATTTATTTTGATTGTATTATACTTAGAATTTTGAAAACTTAGTGAAATAGAAGGTATAAATTCCTATTAACTTTAGAATAATATAAATATATTCCGCATTCTGTACCCTCTAATTTATAGACTCCATCTGTGACTTTATAATAGGATATTATACGGAAATTTTTTGCTTCCGTTCGCTGTCTTATTGTTATTTTTTCTCTCATCATTATTAGACTTTCAAGTACTTCTTTAAATTAATTGTTTTTTGTTTTATTGTATCAAAATTACGATGATTAGTAGAATAAGAATAATTTTATTTTGACTTAAATATGTGAGAATACGTTAATTGTGCATGACTAGACATATATCAAAATTTGATTGATATACCTTTGATGTAGTAATTTAACGTGCTCGATGGAAATCAAATGAAACTCATAGTGCTTGATACGAAACAGACAAAAAACAAGAGCACTCAAAACAGAAGCATGTATATGCATAAAATTAGCGAATGAAAGCAAAAAAAAACAATATAGAACGGATACAGATATTTAGAGAAGATAAAAAAATTTGTGTATTAGCATATTAATGATAATGAATATTTGGGCGAAATTGTTTTTTTTTCAATTGAAATTCAATGCTTGTCAAAAATAGCAAGCAATAGTATTCTTTTTGATATTGGGTACTAGAAAAAGAATGCAATACTCAGATAATGGCTCTTGTTTTAAATAGGAAGTCTGTAGAGGATTTGAGTTTTCATCGATTAGAAGTCAATATTTCAATGATCACAAACGACGTCCAAACAAAGATATTATCTATAAATTATATTACTAAATACTCAATATTATACGAAATTATATACTTATGCATGGGCCACCAAGTATGAACATTTCAGAAGAAACCTGTTTCAAATGATAAATCGTTTTTGAGTTCAAACTTTGTGCATATGGGAGATTCTAGTGAGATATGAAAAACGCCAAAAGCATAAACGCTCTTAGATCTTCCATCCAGAATTATAACAATTTCACTAGAATATTAACCTGTAGAGACGGTATACACAAGCACATCGAATGGTGTCATTTCGACCTGAAATTTTTGCCTACAAATATACTTTCTTGTAACTAGAATGCCCTGAAGTTCTAAGCACAAAAGACTATTTCATTCAAGAGATATTGAATTTCCAAAAATTACTCATATCCCGTGGAAGATGCGAGAATCTTATGCCTTTTGGAAATTCAATATCTTGTGAAAGAAATGTTTTTTTAAGCTAAAAATTTCAATGCATTCTAATTACAACTAGGCCTATTTGGAAGCAAAATTTCAGATCGAAGCAACATTAATCGATATGCTTGTTTATACCGTCTCTAGAAGCTACGATTCTAGCAAAGCAGCTATAACTCTGCATGAAAGGCCTAACGGCGCTTATAATTTTGTAGCTTTTCATAACTTACTGAAGTCAACCATTTGCACAAAGTCTGAACTCAAAGACGTTTTATTATTTGGAATGGTTTCCTCGTCAGCATTTTTTTTACATAGTTCTGTAACTTTTAAAAGTAAATACGCAATTTTTTTTGTAAAAGATGTGCCTTTTATTTCTCTACAATCTTTCATCGCTCAACTGTCGTAATTAATTGAATTTGTTTGAAATTTAAAACTTCCAACTTATAGTCATATATTAAGTGTATCTTCTAAATACTTTAATTATTGAGTTAGTGCTTTATATTTTTCAATCTGTCACCTAGTTTTAACGAACAAACGATGTATGCATATTTTGAAAGTGTCAAAGTCGAATTGTTTCTCCGTGAATAATCATTATTATTCATGTACGACAATCTGTCGTTATGCTATTGCTATTCCTTTATGAAATTCTCAGTATGGTTTCGTTTGGATTTACCGAAACTTTCAATACTATATAAAGCTAAACAATAATCTTCACTTTCTCAACTGTACCTCCTATAATATGTGTCCATTTCAAAAATGAAACCGATACGTGAATAAATTATGATAACTTTCAAGAAACTCAAATACAACCATACTGAGAATTTCATACATAGCATAAAAGCAGATTTTTGTGCATATTACTTCATTAATGATATTGACGTATCAGTATCCAATTGCTTTTTTTGTTCGAAGCTATCACCATTTTCTAACATTGATATCAAAATTTAAGAACTTCAACTTGATCTTGTGAACCTTCTTGATGAAGCTGTTAGACAAATTTTACTTTGTATTGGTTGATTCAGGGTGTCCCGTCCCCGGGGGCGGCGGGGCAGGACACCCCCTCCCCCAATCATCAAAAATTTTCTTACGTTTCGTTAGCAAAAAAAAATTTAGATCTCGAAAAAGTTTCAAAATTTGATCTTCTTTTCCAAAAAATTCGCTACGTCCCTCCCAATATTCGTCGGCTCGGGACATCCCTGGGTTGATTGGCAGATACGAAGTCATATTTTGCCATGTTACTACTGTTGGAATGATGCAGGCTATTGCAACAACTCGAACACTTGATAATGGTACATTTTCACAAGTATTATGAACTTTGTCGATTTCTTTTTTCTCTAGTTAGTTTTTGAAGATCTTTCAAATTATTGTGCATTTACTGCTTCATTATTTTGGAAGAGCATTCATAACTCCAACTTATGCTAGGTATTTGTAGGCCGAATTTGACTTACATTTTCCTTTCGCAACGGTAGATAAAACTATTTCTATTCTAATATTTATAAACATAGACATTTATGTGAAAATATAAAGAGCAAAACTTTAAAGAATATACTATCATATTATTTAATAACTATCTATAAATCATTTAAACTGTTTAAACGTTATACATGTAAACTTTCCTAAGGGACTTTTGTGACACTCTGTATGTTGTGATCTAAAAAGATGACATGTTAAAATGAATCGATCACTTTTTAGAATAATTGACTATAGAAAAAGCAATATTCAAAGATAATTCATAACTAAGAATAAAGTAGCGCTTTTTTATGTAGCTAAGAATGATCTTTCATTTTCTATCGTTTTTTTTCTGACAATGAAATTTTCTCATCAATTAATTCGTTCAATTCTTCGAATTCTTCATTGTCTCGGAGCTTTTTTCGGATTATTTGTATTTATTTATGAATTATTCATTCAACGTAATATATTATATAGTATATGTTATGCTTGTTATCTTATTTCAACTGGTGCAATAATTTATCTTTTATTTGCTCGTAAACGACCAAATAGTCGATTTGCATATGGAGCATTTTTTTCAATGATTTTTGTAACTGTACTATTTTTTCTAAGTGATATTTATGAATCAGTGACAATAGTTTCTCAAATAACTAAAGAACTTATTGGTCATATTGAACAAAATAAAGATATTAGTCCATCTGTAAAAGCTATCATTGAAGTTAGCAAGTTAGTTTGAAATAATTTATTTTTTTTTAAAATTGATTTTATTATTAATTTTTGCATAGATGTTGTTCAATTAATGATGAAAAACATACAAAAGAAAATTTTGAAAGTTTTCAAATAAAATATCCTGATACCTGTGGTGAAATTGAATTTGATGATGCAAAACCATGTTTACCATTTATTCGTAATCAAAGAAGTTTAATGATATTTATTGATTGTATTACGATTATTGTTCGTGTATTAGCATTACTTTTATTATGGAAATATATCAAAGATGAATATAATAGTAACAATAATGATGAACCAATGAATTCATCGCGTATTGATGGAGAATATTCAACAGGAAATGTTGTTGCTTAATCAAATATAATTTCGAAAAATATTCGTTCTTTCTTTTTAGCTTTCTGCTTTCTCGATTTGATATTTCTGTACTATAAGTATTTGAACAAGACCAAGTAGTTTGTTTTATTTTTGATGTATAGTAAGAGCTATAGTGATTTCAAAAAAATGATCATAAAGAATTAATTACGATTTTTTTCCGTAATGATAACTTGAATAAAGAATTCAAATAGTAACTAACATAGAGAAAATTGTTTCGGATAAGGATTTGAGGAAAATAAAATCTTCTCAGTATTCTTCAAATTCAGAATCTCTTGAAGACTCGAAACTGAGTTTTTCAGAATATCAAACGAGTATCCATTTGACTCACATCCCATTATAAAGCTTTTGGCAATAGCCAAAGGTCAGTACTACGAAATTCATGCTATTCAGCGAAAACTGGACAACGGCTTTTGGTCTTCTTGTATGACTTATGTAGTTCGGTCGAAAAATGTCGTGAAGATCTTGGAGACGTGTCATTTTATAGAGAATTAATTGTTCTATGTAGCCAAAAGAACCTCTTATTTTTTGATTTTGTGCTTCGGAAAATTAGGTTTTGGAGTTTATTGAGATCTTGAATTTTGAGAGTACTGTGAAGATTTTACTTTCTCAAACTTATTGGAAACAATTTTCTCTATTCAAATAGCTATTTCGATTTTTTATGCGAGCTATCATTATGCAAAAAAAAATCGAAATTAATCCTTCATTCCTCCTTGGTTACTGAAATGACCATTAAAAGAAAATAAAGTAAATATGGAGTCAAACAAAACTTGGGCAACATGTCTTGTAGTAAACTCCATAAACTCTCAAATGATAAGAAAATATTTTGTTTTGTGTTGGTCCACCTTCTAAAACGATAAGATACAAAATCGATAAGTTTGAAAAGAACGCAAAAGTTGAATTTTTTTTAAATAAAATATTTTTCTACGGACAAATAAGATATATGATGGCAATGTATAGTGAACTATATATAGATAATGATGACAATGTCGACTACAGGTATCAATATCATTCGAACATTTAACAACAACTAGGCAGAAAAGATATGGTAAAATACGGAGTGATTACTGAGGGTTTTCCAGAACAGCAAACCTTTAGTTTTTCAGCATCTACCATTAGGACGTAAAATTTGCTTAAATCACACTTTCTACGACTGTTTTTCATCGAAACACATCAGATTTACGGAAAATTTCAGACAGAAGTTTTTAAAGTTGTTCTCTTTCCCAATGATCACTATGGTACGCGTGATAGACTTGTTCATACTTTCGATATGTCGGAGACACTCATATACTATTGCAATAATTGTTTCATCATTGACTCTTCTAGAACCTCTATGGGAAGTAGAGAGTTAAGTTTATATCATCAATTGTTGGAGTTTCTGTATTTTATTTAAAAATAAGCTTGCCGTAATTATTAATGATAATGTTCAGATAAGTGATTTGAATTATTTATAGATGATATAACAGGTGGGCCATAAATAATGATGGTCTGATTGTTTCATCGATATCGGTCTTGAATCCCATCTCAAAGACTTCGAGTTTCTTTCAAAAGATTCAGCATTCAATTCTCTACAATAACATATCAAAGATCCTTCGATAAGACTTTACGACTCAAAATTAGCAACAT